CGGGCCATGGGTGTGCCAACCCCGAGGCCTCGCGGCCTCTGCTCGTGCCTAGAACTGTGCCTAGCATGGAGAGGGCACTCCCCACTGTGAAATGTGTGGACGGACAGCAGTCTGTTTCCTTGTGTTCGCAGAACTCTTTTAAGTGCCCTGGTGTTTGGGCAGGAGATGTGAAATTCTACACCCAGAAGGTTCTGCCTGACAAACAGTCCTTTTAAAAAGGGTCCTTCCTTCTTCCCAAAGTTCCAAAAAGTCTTTTAGAGACAGCAGGGGATATTTTCCTTACCTGGTGTATTTGGGCTCCAGCCAGACTCACCAGGATGTCTGGGGGTGCCCGGGCAGAGAAAACGTGCAGAGGCTTAGGAAGCATGGTTGGTGTTTGTGGGATTCTTGGGGTGGTGCCTTGGTGAACTGCCCCAGGACCATGCGGTCAGGTGTGCGGGCAGCTCTGGGCCCAGGGGCTGTGTGCACGGAACACCTGTCCGTCTGGTGCTGCTAGGGCGCTGGCCCTGAGCTGGTTGGGGAATTGCAGGTCTGCGTCTGCTGTGTTCCTCCCAGTGCCTACAGCACCCCAATTTTCGGCCAGACAGGGCCAATGCACTTCTGGAGGTGAACAGAAAGAAACACGTGACGATCTCTACAGCCGGTGTTAGTAAGAGGCTGTGTCCTCGATGAGAGAGATTCTGTTCACTGTCACAGGACTCGGGGCAGATTCAGATGTGAAGCATGTTAGCATAGCACTCCCCTTGCTGCAGGCAGGCCATGGCACTGAAATGGTGAGGCACCCTCCCCATTTGCAGATTGTAAGTCTTGGAGCAGGGCTAGCGATTCGTACTTATTTCCGCGGGCAGCCGGGGTGCGAGGTGCGTGGGGAGAACAGCTGGTCCGTGGTGCTGTGTGCTCTGGGTGGCCTGTGCAGCCCTGTGATGGTCTCCTCAGGCCACCACCTGGCTGCCTAAGGCCCATGCACCTGCAGGCTCTGTGTTCTCAGGTGTCTGGCGGCAGATTCTCATGCCTTTGTGTGAGACTTGTCTTTTTCTTCTGAAAGTTTTGTGGGACTTTTTCATCTCCCTGCTCAGGGCTTGGTGGGCCCTTTGCATTGGAAGATTCTTTTTTTTTTTTTTTTTTTTTTGAGGCGGAGTTTCGCTCTCTCGCCCAGGCTGGAGTGCAGTGGCCGGATCTCAGCTCACTGCAAGCTCCGCCTCCCGGGTTCACGCCATTCTCCTGCCTCGAGACTCCCGAGTAGCTGGGACTACAGGCGCCCGCCACCTCGCCCGGCTAGATTTTTGTATTTTTTAGTAGAGACGGGGTTTCACCGGGTTAGCCAGGATGGTCTTGATCTCCTGACCTTGTGATCCGCCCGTCTCGGCCTCCCAAAGTGCTGGGATTACAGGCTTGAGCCACCGCGCCCGGCCGCATTGGAAGATTCTTGTCTGCCTTGAGCTCTGGGAAGCAGCTGGCGCTGTTCAGGGCTGGGAGCCACTCTCTCAGGATTGTGCGGTCATCTGTTGTGTCCTGGGTTACCTGTCCCCTCCCAGGCCCTTTGTTGAAGGCCGAGAGGTCTTCCTGGAAGGGACTATTTTCCTTATGTGACAGCCTGAGCCTGCGCAGAGTCCCGCACGCAGTTGGTACTTGCAACACTGCTGAATGGCAGGTGTCTGTTGCGGGGAACTGTGTGGGGGAGGAGCTGGGACCTGGGAATGGCAGGTGTCCTCTGAGGGGAACCAAGTGGGAGAGGACCTGGGGCCTGGGAGGCTAAGGCAAGGGCTGTCTCCAGTCCACGCTGCACCCCAAGAAGGGAAGTGTGGAAAGGTATTGACTGGTGGCTCAGTAAAATAGCTTGGAAGTGGCCTTCGTGATTCCAGAATCTTCTCACTCCCTTTGGCACCATGTCCTGCTGTGTCCAGGGTGGGCAGGTCCAGTCTGGTCTGGGTCCGGGGAAGGTCTGGGAAGAGTGACCACTCACCTCTTGGAGGGCCCCTCAGGTGAGTGGTGGAGGTGGCTGGATGCAGGGATGGTCAGTGCGGGTCTGCATGGGTGTGTCTTGGAGGGCAGGCATCAGATCGTCTGGTGTGTGTGTCCCTGATGTGGTGGGAGAGGGGGTGCTGGGTGGGTGTTCGGCACCTGTGGGCACTGTGAGGTGGTGGTGGGAGGCTGCTGGGACATGATGACTGTGGGAGGGTGTGAGGTGGGCAGGCGCCTGTGGGGGCAGGTCCCAGCTGGAGAAGGTGGCGTGGTGTCTTGCTGTCTCAGGCCCTTCCTCTATGAATCCATGTAAGTGAGGGTAAGCCAAGAATGGCCCGGGTTCAAATCCACCTTTGCAGTTAATTGGCTGTGTGCTGGTAGACAAGTTACGTAGCTTCTCTGTGCCCCCACTCCCTCATCTACCTGTGAGAATTGTAACAGAGCCTTCCTCAGAGCAGTGGTGCTTAGGATGACATGCGCTGCACGGCAAGTCCTGGCAGTGGGGGCCGCCATTGCAGCCTGTGGGGTCACCCTGGAGGCTGTGATAGTCGATGTTGTGCTGTTCTTGTCCCTCGCTCTCCTCTTCTCCTCTGTGCGCCCAGACTCTCTGCCCTCGGAGGATGGCTTCTCTCTCGCCTCGCCCTGTGTGTGTGGTCATTACGGCTAGGTGCTGGCTTGGTCTTTCCGGCCCTGCCTCGCTTGAGGCCTGCTGCACCGTGGCTCAGGGCTAGGACCCCTCTCTGTACTTGCATGTCTAGGGTGCTGCCCAGCATGAGTGGAGGAGTTTATCAGAACAGGACCTTTCATAGGAGGTTTTAACTTTGGAAGGGAATAGAAAAGTGTCATGGCAGCAATATTTATTTCTAGATCACCCTGAGTTTGTTTCCTTTGTTTTGTTTTATTGTCCTCTTTACACCCTGAGTTTTTAATGATGAGTGAGTGAAGGAGTGACAGTGCGGGTTGAGCATCCCTTTCCAGATGCTCCAGAATTGGAAACCTTTTGACACGGATGTGATGCCCCAGGCATCGCTGAGCTGGTCAACCTTTGCTTTCTAATGGCTTGATGGACACAAACCTTGTTTCATACACATTATCAAAAATACTGCACAAAATTACCCTCAGGCTGTGTGTATAAGGTGTATATGAAACATACATGAATTTCCTATTCAGACCTGGGTCCTATCCCAACATATCTCATTACATATATACAGATGTTCCAAAATCAGAAAAAATCCACAGCACTTCAGGTCCCAAAAATCTCTTCTAAGGGACACTCAGCCTGTGTGGTGTGGTCGGTGACTCCTGATGGGAGGCGGCAGTGTTGTGCGGCCAGTGGGGACCTTCATATCACATCCCATCTGTGCCTTGGGGCTGGATGAATTGCTTCTGGCTGGATCTTGTTCCCTTTTCCACACAACGAAGAGGCTGGGTTAGATGATCTCCAGTCAGGGTGTTTCAGAGTTAGCTGGAAGGTGTGTGTGTGGGGGGGGTAGTTGGAGCTTTCTGGCCTTGCCCCAGACTTACTAAGTCAGAGTCTCTGGGAGGTGCAGGGGCCTGGGAGCGGACGTTCTTACTGGTAGCCCCAATGCTGTAATGCAAGTTCAGCTGGAATCCAGTGCCCTGTGGTCTTCTGAATTTCACTGTCTATTCTGCTAGCTTTACTATTAATTGATACAGTTTAAGGAAAAATTAAACTATAAGCTGAACATATGTGATTATTTTGGGAGGCCAAGGCAGGAGGATTGCTTGAGGTCAGAAGTTTGAGACTAGTCTGGGCAACAGAGTGAGATCTCGTCTACAGAAAAATTAAAACATTAGCTAAGGTTCACCGGGTGTCTTCCCCTCGGCCCCTTCGCCCACGTGGTGAACACTGTGGACCTGCGAGGGTGTGAGGGTTGCGTTCCTGCGTTCTGGACTCTTTCCCCACTGCTGAGAAGCAGCCGTGTGAAATATGAGTTGGCAAGGAAGATCCGCATGTAGGCTTAGACCCAGACGGTGTCTGCAGCCTCCTGAGCCACCTGGGCCTGGGCTTGAGCCCAGCGGTGAACAGCCTCAGTAAGAGGGACCCTAAAGGTCGGGTCCTGCAGCTGGCCGGGAGAGAGGAAGATCACGGTGCCACTGAAATTCTTGTGCTGGACCGGGAAGCTGATCTCCGGGAGCTGTCTCAAAGACTGGGATGAATGTGGAAATGGTCCTGATGTCCAGGGGAAGTTTCTGCCAAAATCAGAGCAATGTAAATTGCCAGAAGGAGCTGAAGGGCAACCGCAGGTTTCAACAAAGACAAGCTGAAGCAATGCAAACTGGTTTTATATTAGATACGTGACTTAAAATATCTCAATACAGTTTTACAGTTTTCTCCAAAAAAAAAAAGTTAGCTGAGTATGGGGGTGTGCTCGCTATGGCTAGAGCCCAGGAGTGAGTTTGAGGCTGCACTGAGCAATGACTGTGCCACTGCTCTCCAGCCTGGGCAATGGAGTGAGACCCTGTCTCTAAAAAATAAAAACAAATGTGATTATAGATAATAAGATATTACTTATATGAATTACAAACCATTTTTTTTTAAATAAGCAGAGGCACATGACAGTAAGAGTCTAGTAGAAAAATTGAGTGGACTGCACAGAAGACTGTTATCCAACATTATGTCACACAGTGTGAGGCGGATGGTGTAAATAAACTGGGAAGTCATGTCTTTCATTGAAGCAGTATCTATTCCTGTTTGAGGAGAAAGCCAAGAGGTGTTCTGTTCCTCGAGGAAGCCATCAAGGCTTCATGACCTGCTGTCCTGGGGCCGTTCACAGTGATAGCTGGCATTTGCTGTAACGGGAACAACAGCACCTTTGTTGTGTGATATCTACCATGAGCCAGATGCTTTTCCGAGTGTGCTTTAGTGAGACCGTTTCACGCGTGTCCTGCTTTCCCTCTCGCCTCACCTGTGATAAAGTGATTCCCCCTTGTATTTGTTTCCTGGGGCTGCTGAAAGAAATTACCACAAACTGGGGGGCTTAAGACAACACGCATTAATTCTCCTGCATTTTCAGGGGCCTCATGTCTGCAGTCACTGTGACCTGGCTGATGGCAGATGCGGCAGAGCTGGTTCCTCTGGCGGCTTTAAGTCTGCTTCCTTCACCTTCGCAGCTTTTGGAGGCGACCGCCTGCCCGTCTGCCTGGGCTCGAGACCCGTCCTTGAATCCCTGCGGTCTCTGCATCCTTCCCCACATGGCCATCCCCTCTGGCTCTGACCCCAGGCTCACACGGGCGCACCTGACACTCTCCCCATCTCCAGAGCCTTCATGAGGTCATGTGGATAGGAGGAGCCATCCAGAAGCTTGGGAGTGAAGACGTGGGTGTATCAGGGACCATCAGCTAGCCTGTCACACCTCTTAAGGAGATCCAATGAGAAGATCCCCAAGGATGTTTCTTGGCCAACTTTTACATTTATTTATTTATTTTTTAATGATGAACATTAAATAGTTAAATGCCCAGTCCTAATATTTAAATTATTAATATAGTACTACTTAGATATTGAGTAATGTAATTTATATTCATTTTTGACTCTTCTCTATCAAAACGTAATTTTACTAAGTGTGCATGTTGTATGTCCATGTTTGTCATCACAGAAGCCGCTCTTGGAGTCACCCAGTAATAGCCTTTCCACGTTATCTAGTTCTGTAGCTTTTGTGTGTGTAAATTACTTCAAATCTGTTTATGATCCTGTTGCTGGAAACTGTATCCCAAGACACAAAAATCTCTTCTAATACCTTTAAAACAATTATTTCTTTAAAAAACATACCCTCTGTTCTATTTTGCATCTTCACAACATCATCACTTACTGTATTGCTTTTTCAAGGGATCTTTAAAGAGTTTTGCAGGAGAGACTACACAGCAGGCCCGAGACCATCCTGAGAGGCCTGTGTGCCAGGCTGGCCCCTGAGTGGTATCAGGACGGTGCCCACCGTCCTCACTGAGGAGGGGCTCCTTGTGCTCAGCTGCTTGTGTGGGCAACAGGGTTTGTGCTGAGAACCTGCCTTTCCTCTGGGAGTCCAGAGTCTGAGTGCAAGGCAGGCAGAGAGTGCCCATGTGCCCAGCCCACAGTCAAAACTCTGGCACCGAGTCTCCGGTGGGCTTCCCTGGTGACGACACTGCACACACTGTTACGGCTCACTCTGGGGGGAGCTCAGTGCATCCTGCACGACCCCACCGGGAGAGGATTCTGGAAGCTCGGGCCAAGTTTCCTCAGGACATCGCCCCATGGGCCTCTGCGCCTGCTGATTTTGTGTGGAATCCTTTCGCTCTAATGAATCTCAGCTGTGAGTGCACCTTTGTACTAAGTCCTGGGAATCACTGGCCTGGGGGTGGTCCGGGAGCCCCTGACAAGTTTGTTCTTAATGACGACCAATACTTTTAAAGTCATACCCCCTGGAAGAATTGAGTTAATATGACGTTTCTTTGCTTTTCTTGGTGGTGGTTTTTATCTAGCCTGTTGGGTGGCCTCTGCAGTATTGATTGAGGTTGTTTCAGGCTAATATGCTTTCCCCAACACAGTATATTCAAAATAAATTAATGTGGGAGGGTCATGGAATATTAGGTGACCCCTCTCCTGAGGGAAAACTCTATGTGAGGGGATTTGTAATCAACTAAGGGGTTCGACTCTGTTCTGCAGGTGCCTTTGAACCTGAAGCCTGTAGCAGGCCTTGCTTCTCACGCTTGGACTCTGCTGTCGTATGAAACGTGGGTTTGGGTGTGTTTGTTCTGAGTGGAGCCCGAGAGTCTGCCTTTCAGACAGGCTGTCAGTCCACGGACGACACTGAGTAGCAAGGGGCTCTTTCCATCGAAGCAGGGTGTGGAAGCAGCGGGGGAAGCAGTCTTGCGTCCTCACGCCCACGGTGGGTTGGTGGGTCCGCCGGGCAGGAATGGGAACTCGTGCAGTGACAAGGTCGCCGTTGTAGGAGACATTTTCTACTCCGAAAGGAAGTTTCTTTGCCTGACTTGAAGATTTATTATCTATAGACACTTAGAGGTGCTTTCTGCGGTGGTTTTTATTATGAATTATGTTTTTGTGTTTAGGTAATACCAGTGAGCAGTGGAGAAAGATGGGCTTTAATAATGAGCTGTTCATTTTTCTTTCTTAGGGCACTGTTTGAAGAAGCAAGCATGGTAGCATCAAGCATTCCCTCAAGTATGGCTCCACGGGAACAATGAGACGTGCTCTTGGTCTTAGAAGCTCATCAGAATGTTTAGAGTTGGGGAGGCGTCCAAGCGCCCATTGCCTGGGCCGGCGCCCCCACGGGTGCGGAGTGTGGAGGTTGCCCGGGGGAGGGCCGGCTATGGATTCACGCTTTCGGGACAGGCGCCCTGTGTGCTCAGCTGCGTCATGAGGGGGAGCCCTGCGGATTTCGTGGGTCTCCGAGCTGGAGACCAGATATTTGCTGTCAATGAAATCAACGTGAAAAAAGCGTCTCATGAAGATGTAGTGAAATTAATTGGGAAGTGCTCTGGTGTCCTGCACATGGTGATTGCCGAAGGCATCGGCCGCCTCGAATCCTGTTCCAGTGACGAAGAAGGGGGACTCTATGAAGGAAAAGGCTGGCTGAAACCCAAGCTGGATTCCAAAGCACTAGGTATAAACAGAGCAGAGCGAGTCGTGGAGGAAATGCAGTCTGGTGGAATTTTCAATATGATTTTTGAAAACCCGAGCCTTTGTGCGAGCAGTTCAGAGCCCTTGAAATTGAAACAAAGATCCCTTTCGGAGTCGGCCGCAGCTCGATTTGATGTTGGACATGAAAGTATAAATAATCCAAATCCCAACATGCTTTCTAAGGAGGAAATATCGAAAGTTATTCATGATGATTCGGTTTTCAGCATTGGACTAGAAAGTCATGACGATTTCGCATTGGATGCAAGTATTTTAAATGTGGCGATGATCGTGGGCTACTTAGGCTCCATTGAACTTCCTTCCACGAGCTCCAACCTGGAGTCCGACAGCTTGCAAGCCATCCGCGGCTGCATGCGGCGCCTGCGGGCAGAGCAGAAAATCCACTCGCTGGTGACCATGAAGATCATGCACGACTGTGTGCAGCTGAGCACTGACAAGGCTGGGGTCGTGGCCGAGTACCCGGCCGAGAAGCTGGCCTTCAGCGCCGTGTGCCCGGATGACCGGCGATTTTTCGGGTTGGTGACCATGCAGACGAATGATGACGGGAGCCTGGCCCAGGAGGAGGAGGGCGCCCTGCGGACTTCCTGCCATGTGTTCATGGTGGACCCAGACTTGTTTAATCACAAGATCCACCAAGGCATTGCTCGGCGGTTTGGGTTTGAGTGCACGGCTGACCCGGACACCAATGGCTGTCTGGAATTCCCGGCGTCCTCCCTCCCTGTCCTGCAGTTCATCTCTGTCCTGTACCGAGACATGGGTGAGCTGATCGAGGGCATGCGGGCCCGCGCCTTTCTGGACGGGGACGCCGACGCCCACCAGAACAACAGCACCAGCAGCAACAGTGACAGCGGCATCGGGAACTTCCATCAGGAGGAGAAGAGCAACCGAGTCCTTGTGGTGGACCTGGGTGGGAGCTCAAGCAGGCATGGCCCCGGAGGCAGCGCGTGGGACGGTGTGGGTGGGAGGGGTACCCAGCCCTGGGGTGCTCCCTGGTCTGGACCCTTCTGTCCGGACTCCGAAGGGAGCCCCCCATTTGAGGCCGCTCATCAGACTGACAGGTTCCGGGACCTAAACAAGCACCTAGGACCGGCCTCTCCTGTGGAGGTGCCTCCAGCTTCTTTGAGGAGCTCAGTCCCCCCTTCCAAGAGGGGCACCGGGGGCGTCAGCTGTGGTTTCAACCAGCGCTGGCTCCCAGTTCACGTGCTCCGGGAGTGGCAGTGCGGACATGCCAGCGACCAGGAGTCTTACACAGATTCCACTGACGGCTGGTCCAGCGTCAACTGTGGCACGCTGCCCCCTCCTATGAGCAAGATCCCCGCGGACCGCTACAGGGTGGAGGGCAGCTTCGCGCAGCCCCCGCTGAGCGCTCCCAAAAGGGAGTGGTCCAGGAAGGCCTTTGGAATGCAAAACATTTTTGGTCCCCATCGAACTGTTCGAAAGACTAAGGAAGATAAAAAGGTAAGCCTGCCAGAGGCCACTCAGCCCAACCTCCTCACTTAGCAGCCATGGGGAGGCGACTCCCAGTCACCAGGTGGCACAGTCCTGGCTTCCTCTGGCTGGCCCTGTGGCCTCTGTGGCCATCACAGGGTGTCTGCATTGCCTCTGGGCTGCGGACTGTGTCTTGCTGGGACCCCTCGCCCCCTGCCCTGTTGGAGTCCCTGGTTCTGGTTCTGGCTCTGATGGCTGGTTCTGGGCAGGACATCTGGGCAGGAGAGGTGGCGGCGAGAGGGAAGTTGTCATCTTAGAGCTCAGGGTAAGGCCCTTCCTGCTCCTCCCTTGCTCTGTCCCTGTGGCCCCTTGAAGCCCATTTTAGGTCTGACCCCAGAATCTTCGTCCCAGTGTCCCACATCCCTCTTGAGATGAGAATATTCTTGAAGCACCGAGAGCCTCCATGGGGGATATCCTGCCGTGGAAAACGCCGGCTGGACTCTGCAGTGGGTCCTGGGAGCCGCATGCTGCCTGCTCACCAAGGGGTACCTCATGGTGTGTAGTGCTGCCTCGAAGACCTGGACCCATCAGCATCCCTTTGGGGGCCCTGCCTTCCTTTAGGAGCTAAGTTGGAGCAGGAAAGAGTAAATGAGCAAAGCTGGGAACCCTTTGGAAGGGACTTTGTCCAGCAGGAGGCAGTGCTGCCTTGCGGCACTGTGCAGGGCTGTGCCTGTGCGGTTGGGTGCAGAGAACCCTCTGGAAGGACTTCCTCCAGCAGGAGGTGGTGCTGCTGTGTGGGGCTGTGCGGTGGGTGCTCTGTTTGGAGCCAGGGCCGTTCTGACAGGTGATGGCGGTGGGCACTTAGCTTCCTTTGTTTCAAAGAAACTACTCTGGCCGTTTACGATGTAAAGACACCTTTTTAGTGTTTGTTCACATCCTGAGACTATCCTAAGAACACCCTCTAAGGCTGCTGACTGGGTGGGCAGGGCCGGGGAGTAGGAAAGGCCGTGTTTGACAATTATTTCTACTCGATTCCCCCACCCAGGGCTAGTGTTTTCCATGATGAAATGTGGCACCTGAGAGAGCATTTAAAGGCTAGGAAGAAGCTGTGGCATATGCCTGTAACTCAGTGCTTTGCAGGCTGAGGCAGGCGGCTGGCTTAAGCCCAGGAGTTCAAGGCTGCCGTGAGCTATGTTGCAGCCACTGCACTCTAGCGTGGGTGACAGAGCGAGACTCTGACTCTAAAATAAAATAAAATTTAAAAAATAGAGGAAGGAGAGATTTCTCGTTTTATCTCCTCAAAATGATCACTGATAATATTTTGATGTATGTAAGCATATAATTGTGTTTTTTTAAAACACTTGTAGTCATATGAATTTTCAGCCTCCTCTTTATTTTTGGGGACAGGGTCTGGCTCTGTTGTCCAGGCTCAAGTGCAGTGGCTCGATCGTAGTTCACTGCAGCCCCTGCTCCCAGGCTCAGGTGATCCTCCCACCTCAGCCACTTGAGTAGCTGGGACTACAGGCACTGGCTACCATGCCCGGCTAATTTTTATATTTTTTGTAAAGATGGGATTTTGCCATGTTGCCCAGGCTGGTCTTGAATTCCTGAGCTCAAGCGATCCTCCTGCCTCAGCCTCCCAGAGTGCTGGGATTACAGGCATGAACCACACCACACCTGGCCTCAGCCTCCTTTTTAGAGGAGTCGTTCTGCAGCTGCACATGCTGCTGCTGTCTTTTCCTGTCTCTTGATCTGAGCCCTGGGCTGGATTCTCAAGGAGGTGCCCTCCTGCCTGCCCTGGGCCTCCCCTCACTTCCCCGTGGAGCCCGTAGGTGGTGGTGCAGGACCACTGCCAGGGAGCTGGCCTCAGTGTGAGCTGCCTGTATTGGGCAGGGATGGGGAGGTGAAGAGCCCTGGAAAGTGGTGAAAATGTTCTTTGGGATCAGGAGATTCCTCATCTCTTTGAATACATGTTTAAAACTGTGTTTTCTCCACTGCTGTGGTGTAGTGAAGGTTGACACTAGTGTTTATGTGGTTCTTTGTGGATTACAGGGCACCTTCACCTGCTTTCTCCTGAAATTCAAAGTGACCTGGACAGTGGGGAGTATGATGCTATTTTAGCTGATTGACAGCGATGCTTATGGTCCTTAGGGGACCTGAGAGACAGATAACGCTGTCATCCCCATCCCACCAGTGAATGGACTGCTCCTTGGGGCAGGTGACATGGGTGTGTAGGCGGGGTTGTGATGCCAGTCTTGGGCTTCCTTGCAGTGAAGATGAGGGTCCTGCTCTTCCCATCCACACTGGAGCAGAGCAGAAGGGGAGCCGGCATGTGCTCAGGGTTGGAAATAATGGTGCAGTCGTCACTGGTTTGCAGAGTGCATCCTTACCTTGATAGGAATCCTGAGGCCATCAGGCCAGGAGATTGAGCTTTGGCTGTCAGGTGACTTGCCTGCAGTCACAGGGCATGTAAGTGCTGGGACCAAGACAGCCCTGGCACTCCATGTCGCTTCCCACAGAGACACTCCTGTGTGTGATTTGGAATGGCCTTCATAATGTGGCGTGATACACTGTCTAAAAATAAATAGGTAGTAACATGTTGTGTTTTATGGGTTCCTGCTGTAATCTCTTGAAGTTTATCTGTTGCTGTTTACTTTGCCAAGTGGGCCTTCCTGTGTAGTTAGGTCAGTCTGATCTCATAGCCTCCCCCGTTAGAGCAGCAGAAGCTTCCAGGGGTCATGATGTGGCCACAAGATGGGTCCGGACGTCCCTCTGGGCAGGTCTGCAGAGCTTCGAAGGTGGCTGTGACCATCCACAGTGATCAGGGTCCCACCTGGACGCTGGCCTGTGCTGAGAGAAGGGGCCAGCAGGGATGCAGGAAGGGCCTGGAAATTAGAAGAAGAAGAAGAGTTGGCACAGGGAGGGAGAGAGCAGAGGAGGCCCCTGGAGGGTGCAGCAGTGTTAGGTAGCAGGCTTCACGTGACTCCAGATTGTTAGTGGTGACGGGGACTTCAGGGCTTTACTTTGCACAAACTCAAGTGGAATCAGTCAGGATCCAGCCAGGAGATAGGAAAACACAGCAGTATTTGAACAGGAAAAATTCAGTATACAGAATTGTTAACGAAGGAAAAGATGGTTAGCTGCTGAAAGACAGAAAAGGCAAGGCTAAGGTCATCAGTGTGGAAAGGGGCTGAGTCTGGAAAAGTGGGTGTGGGAGGTTTAGATGCCCAGAGTAGGGGCCTTATCTGACAGGACCGTGAGTCCATCACAGCTGTAAGAGAGTGAAGCAGCTCCCAGGTGAGGATTGGTGGCTGTCCCCAGTCCCCAGGAAAAACGATGTGGGACCCTCACACGCCAGCCCATCCCACATCACCTGGGAAGCAGTGCCCGTGCCCAGCGCTGAACATCGAGCCCCTGGTCAGGATAGCCATGTGGTCTTCAAGGCCCAGTGCCAGGATCAGAAGCTGGGCATGGCAGGGTGGGCTTGGCACTCAGAGGAAGTGCCTGGATTCCTGGCACAGCGCCTCGTTTGGCTACCCATCGTCTGTATGCACCCTTCTTCAACACCCCCCAAGGGCATCTAACCCCTAGCTTCTCCTTTTGAACGCACCTTGGCTTGCCTGCACCTCAGTGCGGGGTTTTCTGTGGCTGTGGAGCAGCTCTTTCCTGGACAGCCCCGTCAGCTCCTCTCCGCAGTGTGCTGCAGGTGGGTGGTGTCCAGCATGCTCTGAGGCCCAGGCCTGGGGAGGGGCCCCTGCCGACGGTGTCCTTGGCTTAGGCACTCGCTCTTAGCCCTAGAAGAATCTTCAGCATTCCGTCCACACAGTTATTTCTGGTTCTGTGAACGTTAAATGTTCCCTTTTAAATTACTGGCACCAGCCTTTCTTAATCTGTATGCAAAAAAAGCTGACTATTAGAAGAAATATAATGCTGCATCTAGTCACAAGTTGGTCTCTAAGGCCAACAGTTCTGTGTCCTAACTGCCACTAGATTCTCCATTGCTGTCCTTTCCCAAGGCTTTTGTCACTGTCGCCTCCATCCTGCTGTCCGCAGGCTCAGCCCAGGTTTCCGCCCTCAGTGGCCACTTGCTCCTGTGGAGGCCTGGAGACCAGCGAGCCAGACTCTTTGTTGCTCAGCATTTCGACCTCTTCTTGGTGAGATGGAAAGCTTTAACCCCCTGGACACCGACCCAGGTGATGACCTTGTGCCAGCTCATCCTCGTCAGCTTCTCCCTCCTCTGGGGAGGAGCAAGGAATGGGAGCTGAGTTACTTGTAGACTTGCTGAGGGTCTGAAATTCTTGAAGCGGATGAGGTGATGTTTGGAAGTGGACTGCTTTCCCTTTTGTGTAGTTTGCTCCTTGTCTCTGCCTAATGTCTGTAGCCAGCACAAGCTGGTTCTCATGGAGATAAACACTCAGGCCTGTGACTATGAAAGGGGTTGACGTGAAAGAGAACCCAGGATCTCGAAATGCTTCTGTCATCAAAAATGATGGCCTTGTGTTTCATTTAAGGCAAGTGTGTTTAATTCTGTGTCTTTGCAAACTGACTCAAAGTTATATTAATTAAATTAATTATATTAATTAAAATACCTAGTTAAGTAGCAGCACCCACGTTCTTAAAATTTCCATACAATGGATTTTGGAAATTTTAAAAATGAAAATATGTTATTTATGATCTGTAAAGGATTGATTGGTGTAGTTTTGAAATGATCTGTAAAGGATTGATTGGTGCAGTTTTGAAATGAGTGAATAAATACTTTTACATTCCTCAGTTAAATTTCTGGTATGAGAAACATCAGTAGCTGAAACCCACAAAGATAAAGGCTCGCTGAGGTGCTCGGTAGTTTTTGGTCCTCCCGGGAGTCCGGAGACCACAGCACTCGAGGACTGCTGCCCGCGGAAGGGTGGGTTTGCAGGAGTGAGTTCCTTCTCAGCTGTTTCTTACTGAGATAAGACCATTAACAGGAGAACGGAGAAATACCTCATGGGTGTACTGGAATACCAAAGAGCTACATCTGAGCGAGATGGTGG